CTGCAGGTTATTCTGCTGGGAATGCCCGTTGCTCGCATCAGATGGATTTGGTGGCATTAAAGCGCGTTAAAACGTACGCCAGAAACACGACCGGACAGACACGGCTTTCAGCCTCCATGTCCGTAGAAAAGGATCAACTCATGGACCTGAAGCGCACAGATAAACTGTACAGAGCCATTGAGGTTTTCCTCAGGAAAGAAAGAAGGATGGATTTTATTTTCAAATGAGCAGGAGAGGAGGAGATCCATGCTGGACATTTATGTTGGTGAGTAGAAACATTTTATTAGTATTTTTTTTAATGTTTTGTCATTTTATTTTGTTAATAATCAATAAATGGTAACAAAATAAAATGGCAAAATGAAATTATTCTGTGTTCTGTTTCTATGCAATTTATATTGTGTATAACATGGTGTGTGCAGCTGCGCCAACATGTTCAGTTGTTTCGCGGTACAATTTTCTCCAAAACAAATGCAAATAATGTGTTTGCTTTACTTATTTATTTTATTGTCTCATCTCTTAAACCCGTTTTTCATTTCTGAGATTTGACGGTATCCGTGGTCAGCTTCCTACTCTCAACTGGGAATGCGAGTTTGATTTTAAAGACTCTGGAAATTATGTGTCTTGACCAGCCACTGGTGTGTGTGTGTGTGTGTGTGTGTGTGTGTGTGTGTGTGTGTGTGTGTGTGAGGTTTCTCCAGCTGTGATGTCCTATTGATGGTATTTTAAGGTGTATTAAATTAGATTGGACTGAATAGGAAATCATTGAAGGCCCAGGGGTGGAACACACCGCCCGCCACTGGGAAAATGGGAGGGTTAAACCTTTCATCAATAATATCACACAAAATGATGAGTCCATGACTTTTTCAGTATTCAAAGGAAAACTAAGGAGTTATGAAGAAACTGGGAAGTTACGTACAATGTCAATTACCAGTGATAATGTCATGAATTCGAGAATGCAGCCAAAAGCCGAAAATGTGCAGGTTGATGAGAGAAGGTGGAACTCAGATGACAGAGACCTGACATGTTTCAGATGTGGCCAACAAGGTCACATATCCAAGACTTGCCATCAAAAGAAATGGCGTACATTATGCAAAAACTGCACACACCAAACTGAAGCCAGCAGACGGAGACGTCAACAGGATGGAGTCTAGAAAATCACTGACGACGGAGAAGAATTTGCCTTCAAGTTAAACGAAGCAGATGAGGGTTTCATGCATGGTGGACAGCATCGAAGATCAAGGGTTGTTGGTGAACACCAGTGCAACATCTCATTTGATCACAATCACAAAAAGTTCAGGAGATTCGATGGAGACTTCGAGCTGAAGACACACTGCATCGAGTTAGCAGACAGAACCAGGTGCAACGGAGTGGCAGAGAAAAGAGGAGAGGCAGTAGTGACACTGAGAGACAGCAGGGGGAGACATCGTACAATGGTGCTAAAAAGAGCCTTCTACATCCACACCTATCCACAGAACATCTTCTCAGTTAGAGAAGCCACCTCCAATGGAGCCACATTGATCTTCAGGAGAAACAGAGATGTGCTACAGCATCCTGATGGAACGAGGTTCCCCATCAATGAGCACAAGAGGCTCTATTACCTCCAAACTGAGTAGAGGATGTTATGTACAGTGTAAAGCTTCTTATAACCTACAAGAATGGCATGAGATAATGGGACATTGTAATTTTAATGATGTGGAAAAAGTTACAGGGAGTTGCAGAAGGAATGTATATAAAGGATGAAAAGGAAGAAGAAAAGAATGTGAAGTCTGCACAAAAGGTAAATTTGTTCAGACTTGAAACCGTAAACCAGATGAAACAGCTAAAGCTATTTTTGATCTAGTCCATACTGATTTGACAGGCCCCATAAACCCAGCATCAAAAGAGAGATACAAATATGCTTGATCTTTTACAGATGATTACTCCAGCATTATTTTTGTGTATTTCCTGAAGCAATAGAGTGATACTGTTCAGGCAACAGAAAGGTCCATGGCTGATACTGTCATGTTGTGGGCAAGACATTTCACCCAGGACATGAAGAATCACAGGAGAGGAATCGGTGAGTAAAAATGTAAAGTGATTTATTTACAGTGGAATAAAAAAAAAAAAAAAAAAAGACAAAAACTAGAACTAAAGGTGCTGCTTCAATGATCAGGAACAGGAGGGTACCGGAATCTACGGAGATATAAACAGAAGGTGAGCGAGACCAGAACCAGAGAAGCAGGATATGAGAGTCTGTCACTAAGGCCCTGTCCACACGTAGCCGGGGATCTGCCAAAACGTAGATATTTTTCTACGTTTTGGCCTGTCATCCACACGAAAACGGAGTTTTTTCACACGAAAACGGATCTTTTTAAAAACTCCGGCCAAAGTGAAGATCTGCGTTTTCTCCGTTTTGGGTGTCTGCGTGTGGACAGACAAAACCGGAGTTTTAAGGTCCGCAACGTCACTTTCCGCGACAAAAAAATGCTGACATCACGTGTGCGACCTGTGTTTACACTAGCTGACAGCATGGATGCCCTCAGAGCTGCGCTCTGTCACTACCCGATCCATCAATTGTCCAAGCGCTTTCTGCTTGTTTGTTTTTGCAAGCAGAATTACTGCTCCTTGCGGAAGACCACAGACGAAGGACAAGGTTAAGAACGGGGGAAGTACTGCCGCCTACAGGTCGGGCATGCCCTTAACAACGTATTTATCCGGGTACGTGTGGACAGAGTTTGTTTTTAAAACGCGGTGGTGTGGATGCAAGTTTTTGGAGGGGCGGATATTCGTTTTTAAAAAAAACCTGCTACGTGTGGACTAGGCCTATGAGAGTTCTTACGGTCAGGAGCCAGGACAAGAGCGGAGGCGAACTGGGAGAAGTTGGACCGGGTGAGAGGTTCTGAGCGTGAGGCAGGCGGGCAGACGTGGAGAGAGGAGTCCAGAGGATCTTTGAGTGGCGAGACGTGGAAACAACTCCAGGCAAGGTAGGTAGGAACAGGATACTAGAACGGAATACAAAGTCATTAATTCAGGGTCACAAGAGAACAGGCAGATTCAGAGGCTAGATGCTACCCAAGTGAGAGTATCAACCGGCGCTGGAGTTGAGTCACACCACTCCTTAAATCCTCTGCACCTCAATTAGCGAAACTCCAGACAGCTGTGCAGTCTGCCGCACCCACCTGCAACACAAAAGCTGACACAATCCATCAGTAGGTGGAGGCAAACCGTGACAGATACAGCATTATTTGAGAAAATAAAATGCATACGTACTGATAATAGTACAGAGTTTACTGGTAGAGTATTCAAATATGTTGAGTAGAAAAAGCATTAGACATTGAATTCAATTCAACTCAACTCAACTCAATTCAATTGAATTCAAGTTTATTTACATAGTGCCAAATCACGGCAAGAGTCGTCTGAAGGTAGACCCTACTTCACATAATAAACATTCCAATACAGGTAAATTCAATCAGAAAAATTTTCCTATATAAGGAAGCCAGCAAATTGCATCAGCATGCACCATACTCACCACATCAGAATGGTACTGCAGAACGAAGCTGGAGAACACTGTTTGATATGGCAAGATGCATGATAATAGAAAGTAATCTACAAAAAATGTGGGTCTACGCTGTTCAAGCAGCAACAGTTGTCAGAAACAGGTGTTACAATAAGCGATTAGGAATGATGGTGAGAGGCAAAAAGCCAAACTTGTCAAAAATGCAGAAATTTGGGACAAAATGTTATTGCTTACAAACCAGAAAAAGGGAAGCTAGATTCTAGATGTGAGGAAGGTATGTTTGTAGGACGTATGACAAGAACAGCCCAGCCTATCTAGTTTATTTTCCAAACAGTGGGAAAGTACTAAAGCACAGGCTAGTGAAGTTTGTGAAAGGGGAAACAGAGAGACAGAAAAAAACACAAAAAGTGTCTGATGAAGAATATCAATACCTAAGCAAAAGAGAGAAAACCAAGGAAAGTCATTTGAGCCAAAACACGAAGAGGACCCCAAAGAGAAAACTAGCCAAGTAGATCCAGCATGTGCAGGAGAAGTAGAGTCCACACATTACCCTTCTAGAATGCAGAAAAAGTCAGATTTTCTTAAAGATTATGTAATTGAGGTAGACGATGACCAAGCATCTAGTAACATTGATGTTGCTATAAACTTTTTAATACAATTTCTTTAACTTTTGAAGAAGCTGTTAAGTCACAGAACTCCAGAGGGTGGAGAAAGGCAATGGACGAAGAAATAGAGCCGTTAAAAGACTCACCTTGACAACCCCACCAGAATGTAAAACAACAGTGGGGGGGGGGGGGGGCGGGTAGATGGGTGTACACACTGAAGAAGGATTCAAATGAATCAGATGAATGCAAGGCCAGATAAGTGGCAAAAGGGTATAACCAGAAGAAGGGCCTAGATTATGAGGAGACCTTCTCACCCACAGCACACTTAACAAGGGTGAGAATTCTAATGAAGAAAGCAGCACAAGAGAAGTGAGGGATATGTTAAAATGTCACAATCCAAATATGTGGATAAAATACTAGAGAGGTTCAAACCTAGAGCCACACCATGTGGGCAGAAAGCAGAAAATGACGACTACTCAGACAAGATGACTGATGTTATAAAATATAGAGAAGTTGTTGAGAACTGAACAAATGGTAGCAGACGTGATGACAAAGCCCGCTACAATAATTACGTTAGGTTTGACCATTTCATGTTTGGCATGACATGTTAATTAAGTGTTGACAAGGATTTACCTCGGAGAAAGTGGGGGTGTTAGGATTTGCATATGTTGTATGCTCTGATATTATGTTTTACTGTAAACATGTGCTTTTATTTTGATATAATGGATTTAGTGTCAACTGGAAGTGATGTCATTGTGGTGATCATATAACCAATCAGTGATCTGTGAGGTGAACTTTATCCTTTGTTTATGACCAATCAAAACGGAGCATTGGTGACAGACTGTGGTAGAGA